TAAATTCTCTAACATTATTCTCTCTGCAGCCTCAGGTGAATGATCAATTAACTTTGTACCTACCAAGACTATAAGCAGAGAATTGCCACCTCACAAACACCTTCCATAATATTTCCTTTCCTTTCTTTTGTGAGTGCCTTAAACCCTACGAAATTAGACACAATTATTCCTCCAAATAATCTGCAGCCAAGGGACAACTTCCTCAGACACAAGGGTGTTATCACCTCTGTCTACAGTGTCAACTCAGGCTCAAACAAGAAGACAAAATTACGAGGACCCAGGAAAGTACCACTTGACCTTAAATAATGATTCTAAGGCAAGTAAACACAAATCAAGTCCAGAACAGCCCATGGTGGCAAATGGGCACCAGAGACACCAAAAGCCTGTGTGTGGTAAAGAAACACAGAATTAAGGACTTCTATTTAACTGAAGACTGCCTCACCCACCTGGCTGTTTTCATTGCAGTGAAAGTGAAAACAAACAGAGGTGGAACGGCAGTGCCAAGACTCCAGGACTACTTCTTGTGTAGCCCTGTTTTCCACCCTCACTGTAGCTTTGGGGAGATTTCATATTCAGTGGGTGAAGTTTAAGTCCCTGAGGGGCACCAGCCCATTCTCAAAGTGATGTGACACACACCTCTGATCATCCAGGATGGTTAGTGGCAACAAAACAAGTGAAGTTTTTTGTTGTTCTTTTTTTTTTTTTTTGAGACAGAGTCTCACAATGTTGCCCTCAGTAAAGTGCCTATGGCGTCACAGTGCACAGCAACTTCAAACTCTTGGGCTTAAGTGATTCTCTTGCCTCAGCCTCCCAAATGGCTGGGACTATAGGCACCTGCCACAGCACCCGGCTATTTTTTAGAGATGGGTCTTGCTCATGCTCAGGTTGGTCTTGAACTCATGAGCTCAGGTAATCCACCCATCTTGGCCTCCCAAAGTGCTAGGATTACAGCCCTGAGCCACTGTTTATCTTCTTAAAATTAACCTAGGCTACAAATGCCTCCCAGCTCCTCCCTTTCCCTGGGTTTCCCGTGGGCAGCCATGTCTATACCTCCTCCGCAGCTCTCCGTAGCACTTCTTGTTGGATCCATGTCCACACATCCCTTCTGCCACATATGCTCAGCCCTTGACTTTTCCATAGAACTGTCCTTGACCAATCTAGTTCAATCTTTCCAACTCCTCTCAAGCCCTCTCCAGAGTTATAAGGGCATTAGCAAGCACTGGTTTTTTTATCTGTGTCTGTTTCTACTTGTCACCCACTGCATAAATCCCTCAGGACCAAGAGCCATTTCTTCTGTGTCCTTAACAGGACAAGGGTAGCCAGCCCATAAAAGGAACAAAGAAGAAATGTATTCTTCAAAGCATCTGGGTGCAGTGGCTCATACCTATAATCCTAGCACGCCCAACTCTGGAAGGCTGAGGCAGGAGAACTGCTTGAGCTCAGGAGTTCCAGACCAGCCAAAAAATGAATGAGACCCCATCTCTACAAACAGAAAAATCAGCTGAACATTGTGGTAGGTGCCGGCTATTTGGGAGATTGAGGCAAGAGGATCACTTGATCCCAAGAGTTTGAGGTTGCTGTGAGCTAAGCTGGCACCATGGCACTCTATCCTGGGCAACAGAGAGATTTTTGTCTCAAAAAAAAAAAAAAAGTATTCACCAAAGGCAGTGAACTACCTCAATCTAGTATTTCAGAGACTTACGAAATTCCTCCAACATCTTAGATCAATCACTGAGTCACTTAATCCATGAAAACATTACAAGGATACTTTCTCGAATAAAAGCATCTATTATCAATGCCTTAAAGTAACAGGAAAGAGGGAAGATGGGGCTCTTCCATAATAGATCTACAATAAGTGTTTCTTAGCGAGTTCAGGGCACCTTTAGATCCCAGAGCAAGGGCAGGGTGAGAGGAAAGCCCAGTGCAACATGGGTGTTAGTCCGTGCCAAGTAGAGCAAGTCACACACCCTTGGACCTTGATCCAACAGATAAAACCAACACTGGTGGAATTCTACTACCAGCTTGTACCTCTCTTGACAGACACCTGAAGATGAAATCTCCCCATCTTATTTAAAAAGAGCCACTTCGAGAAAGCTGGGGTAGGGGTGAGAGGGCAGATGAGGCCATCAGACACACATTGATTAAATCATGGTTTTGTGGAAAGGACCCCAACCTGGATTCCAGGCAGCTCTTCAACCAGCACCAGCTCACCAAGCCAAGGGGAGGGATGTATGTATCTCCTCTGTGAAGACTGGAGCTCTAAAGGCCCAGAAACTGTAGATTTCCCAAAGACCACAGCTCAGTCCAGCAGAAAAACCAGTGAAGGGCCAAGTGGCCAGATCCCCAGAAGTGGGGCCCTTCTGCAAGACACCCATTCTCCCATCACCTCCTCTACCTGGGCCTGAGCAAGAGCTGGGGCAGGGCACCGCCTGATCGCACTTCCCGGATCCTCACTGACCGGGAAACCAGCAAGGAGGCGGGCACCTGCTTCCCCCGGCGCGGGATGGACAACGTCCCCTCTCGGGTCCCCGCGGCGGCGTCTGGGCTGAGCTGGGTGCTGCGGTCAACAGCGGACCCTTTCAGCGGGAGCGGGTGCCCACCTTACTGATGGGACGGGGTCTAGCCCTGGGGACAAGCTCTGGGAGCTTCCCAGGCCCTCGGCTGTTTGTCCTGGACCTTGCCTGGACCCCACCAGAACAGGGGCAAAAACGCGGATACCCGGGCCCCTAGAAGCCGAACTGACGCCAACTGCGTTCAGGAATTGGGGGTTTTGTTTGTCTCGTTTTGGTTTCTGAATCCCCGGGTGATATTTCAGAAAATTTCAACTTTCAGTTCCGCAGCCAAATGAGCGAATCGCGCCTTTTCCTGAAAAGCCCCGGGGCGTTCTCCGGCGAGGGGGACGTCGCGGGCGGAGAGGGGCGCGCGCTCCGGCAGGGAAGGACGACCCCAGCACGCGCGCGGCAGGGCGACCGGACCCCGGGAACCGAACCACCGGGAGGCTGGACCCGGCCCCGACTGCCCGCGCGGGAGATCCCGGCCGGACGTCCCGACCTCCACCCCGCCACCCGCCCGGCATCCCCAGCCTTCAGGGAGGCCCCCGCCGAGCGCGAGGTCCCGGGCGTCCGGCAGGTGCGGGCGCCGCAGGGACCCCGCTCCCGGGCCTGCTCCGGCCCCGCCGCGCAGCACAGCACTCACCGCAGCCCGCGCCGCCTGTCGAACCGGGAGGTCTGAG